GCGCTGATGCTAATGCTGATGCGCTGATGCTGATGCTGATGCTGATGCTGATGCTGATGCTGATGCTGATGCTGATGCGCTGATGCTGATGCTGATGCTAATGCTGATGCGCTGATGCTGATGCGGATGCGCTGATGCTGATGCTGATGCTGATGCGCTGATGCTGATGCGCTGATGCTGATGTGCTGATGCTGATGCGCTGATGCTGATGCTGATGCTGATGCGCTGATGCTGATGCTGATGCTGATGCGCTGATGCTGATGCGCTGATGCTGATGCTGTTGCGCATGCGCTGATGCGCTGATGCGCTGATGCTGATGCTGATGCTGATGCTGATGCTGATGCTGATGCTGATGCGCTGATGCGCTGATGCTGATGCTGATGCGCTGATGCTGATGCTGATGCTGATGCTGATGCGCTGAATCGCTGATGCTGATGCTGAATCGCTGATGCTGATGCTGATGCGCTGATGCTGATGCGCTGATGCTGATGCTGATGCTGATGCTGATGCTGATGCGCTGATGCTGATGCTGATGCTGATGCTGATGCTGATGCGCTGATGCGCTGATGCTGATGCTGATGCTGATGCTGATGCGCTGATGCTGATGCTGATGCTGATGCTGATGCTTATGCGCTGATGCGCTGATGCTGATGCTGATGCGCTGATGCTGATGCTGATGCTGATGCTTATGCGCTGATGCGCTGATGCTGATGCTGATGCGCTGATGCTGATGCTGATGCTGATGCGCTGATGCTAATGCTGATGCTGATGCTGATGCTGATGCTGATGCTGATGCGCTGATGCTGATGCTGATGCTGATGCTGATGCGCTGATGCTGATGCTGATGCTGATGCTGATGCTGATGCTGATGCTGATGCTGATGCGCTGATGCTGATGCTGATGCTGATGCTGATGCGCTGATGCTGATGCGCTGATGCTGATGCTGATGCTGATGCGCTGATGCTGATGCTGATGCTTATGCGCTGATGCGCTGATGCTGATGCTAATGCGCTGATGCTGATGCTGATGCTGATGCGCTGATGCTGATGCGCTGATGCTGATGTGCTGATGCTGATGCGCTGGTGCTGATGCTGATGCTGATGCGCTGATGCTGATGCTGATGCTGATGCTGATGCTGATGCTGATGCGCTGATGCTGAAGCGCTGATGCTGATGCGCTGATGCTGATGCTGATGCTGATGCTGATGCGCTGATGCGCTGATGCTGATGCTGATGCTGATGCTGATGCTGATGCTGATGCGGATGCGCTGATGCTGATGCTGATGCTGATGCTGATGCGCTGATGCTGATGCTGATGCTGATGCGCTGATGCTGATGCTGATGCTGATGCGCTGATGCTGATGCGCTGATGCGCTGATGCTGATGCTGATGCTGATGCTGATGCTGATGCTTATGCGCTGATGCGCTGATGCTGATGCTAATGCGCTGATGCTGATGCTGATGCTGATGCTGATGCGCTGATGCTGATGCTGATGCTGATGCTGATGCTGATGCTGATGCGCTGATGCTGATGCTGATGCTGATGCTGATGCGCTGATGCTGATGCTGATGCTGATGCTGATGCTGATGCGCTGATGCTGATGCGCTGATGCTGATGCTGATGCTGATGCGCTGATGCTGATGCTGATGCTGATGCGGATGCTGATGCGCTGATGCTGATGCTGATGCGCTGATGCTAATGCTGATGCGCTGATGCTGATGCTGATGCTGATGCTGATGCTGATGCGCTGATGCTGATGCTGATGCTGATGCTGATGCGCCGATGCTGATGCTGATGCTGATGCTGATGCTGATGCTGATGCTGATGCGCTGATGCTGATGCTGATGCTAATGCTGATGCGCTGATGCGGATGCGCTGATGCTGATGCTGATGCTGATGCGCTGATGCTGATGCGCTGATGCTGATGTGCTGATGCTGATGCGCTGATGCTGATGCTGATGCTGATGCTGATGCGCTGATGCTGATGCTGTTGCGCTGATGTGCTGATGCTGATGCTGATGCTGATGCGCTGATGCGCTGATGCGCTGATGCTGATGCTGATGCTGATGCTGATGCTGATGCTGATGCGCTGATGCTGATGCTGATGCGCTGATGCTGATGCTGATGCTGATGCGCTGAATCGCTGATGCTGATGCTGATGCTGATGCGCTGATGCTGATGCGCTGATGCTGATGCTGATGCTGATGCGCTGATGCTGATGCTGATGCTGATGCTGATGCGCTGATGCTGATGCTGATGCTGATGCTGATGCGCTGATGCTCATGCTTATGCGCTGATGCGCTGATGCTGATGCTGATGCTGATGCGCTGATGCTGATGCTGATGCTGATGCTGATGCTGATGCTGATGCTGATGCTGATGCTGATGCGCTGATGCTGATGCTGATGCTGATGCTGATGCTGATGCTGATGCGCTGATGCTGATGCTGATGCTGATGCTGATGCTGATGCGCTGATGCTGATGCGCTGATGCTGATGCTGATGCTGATGCGCTGATGCTGATGCTGATGCTGATGCGGATGCTGATGCGCTGATGCTGATGCTGATGCGCTGATGCTAATGCTGATGCCCTGATGCTGATGCTGATGCTGATGCTGATGCTGATGCTGATGCGCTGATGCTGATGCTGATGCTGATGCGCCGATGCTGATGCTGATGCTGATGCTGATGCTGATGCGCTGATGCTGATGCTGATGCTAATGCTGATGCGCTGATGCTGATGCGGATGCGCTGATGCTGATGCTGATGCTGATGCGCTGATGCTGATGCGCTGATGCTGATGTGCTGATGCTGATGCGCTGGTGCTGATGCTGATGCTGATGCGCTGATGCTGATGCTGATGCTGATGCGCTGATGCTGAAGCGCTGATGCTGATGCGCTGATGCTGATGCTGATGCTGATGCTGATGCGCTGATGCGCTGATGCTGATGCTGATGCTGATGCTGATGCTGATGCGGATGCGCTGATGCTGATGCTGATGCTGATGCGCTGATGCTGATGCTGATGCTGATGCGCTGATGCTGATGCTGATGCGCTGATGCTGATGCTGATGCTGATGCTGATGCGCTGATGCTGATGCTGATGCTGATGCTGATGCTGATGCTGATGCTGATGCGCTGATGCTGATGCTGATGCTGATGCTGATGCTGATGCTGATGCTGATGCTGATGCGCTGATGCTGATGCGCTGATGCTGATGCTGATGCTGAAGCTGATGCGCTGATGCTGATGCGCTGATGCTGATGCTGATGTGCTGATGCTGATGCTGATGCGCTGATGCTGAAGCGCTGATGCTGATGCGCTGATGCTGATGCGCTGATGCTGATGCTGATGCTGATGCTGATGCTGATGCGCTGATGCTGATGCTGATGCTGATGCGCTGATGCTGATGCTGATGCTGATGCTGATGCTGATGCGCTGATGCTGATGCTGATGCGCTGATGCTGATGCTGATGCTGATGCGCTGATGCTGATGCTGATGCTGATGCCCTGATGCTGATGCTGATGCTGATGCGCTGATGCTGATGCGCTGATGCTGATGCGCTGATGCTGATGCTGATGCTGACGCGCTGATGCTGATGCGCTGATGCTGATGCTGATGCTGATGCTGATGCGCTGATGCTGATGCTAATGCTGATGCTGATGCGCTGATGCTGATGCTGATGCTGATGCTGATGCTGATGCGCTGATGCTGATGCTGATGCTGATGCTGATGCTGATGCTGATGCGCTGATGCTGATGCGCTGATGCTGATGCTGATGCTGATGCTGATGCTGATGCGCTGATGCTGATGCGCTGATGCTGATGCTGATGCTGATGCGCTGATGCTGATGCTAATGCTGATGCTGATGCGCTGATGCTGATGCTGATGCTGATGCTGATGCGCTGATGCTGATGCGCTGATGCTGATGCTGATGCTGATGCCCTGATGCTGATGCTGATGCTGATGCTGATGCGCTGATGCTGATGCTGATGCTGATGCTGATGCGCTGATGCTGATGCGCTCATGCTGATGCGTTGATGCTGATGCTGATGCTGATGCTGATGCTGATGCTGATGCGCTGATGCTGATGCTGATGCTGATGCTGATGCTGATGCGCTGATGCTGATGCTGATGCTGATGCTGATGCGCTGATGCTGATGCGCTGATGCTGATGCTGATGCTGATGCTGATGCTGATGCTGATGCGCTGATGCTGATGCGCTGATGCTGATGCTGATGCTGATGCGCTGATGCTGATGCTAATGCTGATGCTGATGCGCTGATGCTGATGCTGATGCTGATGCTGATGCGCTGATGCTGATGCGCTGATGCTGATGCTGATGCTGATGCCCTGATGCTGATGCTGATGCTGATGCTGATGCTGATGCGCTGATGCTGATGCTGATGCGCTGATGCTGATGCGCTCATGCTGATGCGCTGATGCTGATGCTGATGCGCTGATGCTGATGCTGATGCTGATGCTGATGCGCTGATGCTGATGCTGATGCTGATGCTGATGCTGATGCGCTGATGCTGATGCTGATGCGCTGATGCGCTTGCTGATGCTGATGCTGATGCTGATGCGCTGATGCTGATGCTGATGCGATGCTGATGCTGATGCGCTGATGCTGATGCTGATGCGCTGATGCTGATGCGCTGATGCTGATGCTGATGCTGATGCTGATGCGCTGATGCTGATGCTAATGCTGATGCTGATGCGCTGATGCTGATGCTGATGCTGATGCTGATGCTGATGCTGATGCTGATGCGCTGATGCTGATGCGCTGATGCTCATGCTGATGCTGATGCGCTGATGCTGATGCTGATGCTGATGCTGATGCGCTGATGCTGATGCTGATGCTGATGCTGATGCTGATGCTGATGCGCTGATGCTGATGCTGATGCTGATGCTGATGCGCTGATGCTGATGCGCTGATGCTGATGCTGATGCTGATGCACTGATGCTCATCATCCTGCCCCACCTGACGCGCGGCTCCTCATCATCCATGTGCCGCAGCACAGCCTCCCCCGCTCCGCTGCAAAACGCCGCCACGCCTTCCCCTCCCCAGCCCCCCTCCCTTCCCCCGTGTTGCCTCTCCCCCGCCTCCCCTGCGCTGCCTCCCCCACTCCCCTGCCCCGCGCCCTTCCCCCCTGCAGTGCACGGCTCCTTGCTGCCCGCGTGCACGCGCTGCCCCGGCAGAGCGCCCAGCACTCTGCTCCAGTGCCGCAGCAGCACCTGCCATGTGTGCGGGGTTGGTGCACGAGAGAGGAGGAGGTTGGAGCAAGCTTGGTGTGCTGCCATGGGGCCGTGTGGGCCACAGCGTGCAGGGCAGGGCGAGTGCACAGCAGAGCATGCTCCTCGCCTCGCACCCCATCAGCTTTCATTCTCCCCTCGCCTGTCCACCACGTCTCCCCGCGTCTCCCCGCCCCCGCATGGCGAGCAGGCGCGCGCTCACTGCCTCCATGCGCCTTGCCGCGCCGTCACTGCCGCTCGCCACGCGTGGGGGCGAATGGGGGAACGGGGGAGAGGGGAAATGGGGAAATGGGGGAAAAGAGGAGAGGGGCGGTGAGAGCGGGAGGCGGAGGGGATGGAGCGCAACAGGGACAGAGAGACGGGCGGAAGGAAAGGAAGCGGGATGACGAAAGGAGAGGGCGGTGGGGAAGAGGAGGCAAGGGAGTGGCGGAAGCATAAATAGTGGGGAACGCGGATGTGCGGCGCGCGCAGTTGGGAATGGGCGGGGGAAGTGGCTGGCGTTGACTTTGCTTCCATGCTTAATCTGCTATGCCCCGTAACGCTCCATGGCTTGCCGCCGCCACCGATGCTGTCGTTGCTGCTGCAGCTGTTGCTGCTTGTTGTCGGTGTTGGTAGCATGGCTGCTGGAGTTGGCAGAGGACAGGCAATGCAATGACCTCGGATTGAATGAAGCAGCAAGCATGTCAAGGAAGGGGAAAGCATTGGAAGTAGCAACTCAGATTCGGGCAGAAAGTATCTCAAGATAGGCACTAGAGCAGTGGAGAGCAAAACCGAGAAACTCGAAACATGCACGAGCATTGTGGGACATGCACTAAAATGGAGGAGCGAAGGAGAGAGCGGGGTGCGGTGAAAGTGATGCATCATACCATAAGGGCAGCGATGGCATGGGCGTGGGTTTTGAGGACTGGCATTGACTGGCGGTGACTGGCGTTGACTGCCATGCTGCTGCAGCCAGCGCTGTGCGGCTCTGCCCCCCCCTGCACTCCATTCGCCCTGAGGCCAGAGCGGGACAAGGCACCGGGAGAAGGAGACGCACAGGAAAAGGATCGGCGTCGGAACTTGAAATGAATGGGAGCAGCAAGATCGTCAAGGTGGCAATAGAGCAGAAGCAGTGAAGAGCGAGCATTGAGAAACTTGAAAATGGAGCACAGCGGAAAAGGAGTGGTTCAATCGTGGTGGGAGGGGGAACGGGGAAGGCGCATGGCGACAGTGGCCCACGGCACTAGAGCAGCGAGCTGAGCCAGCGAGGGGGGACTGGGGGACGCACGCATGGCATGAATGCACTCCCTCTCCACTACTCTGTCCCACCACTCCCACTACACTGCACTCAACATGAGCTCTGCTGCCATAGCACCATGGACCACCACCACCACCATGCGCCAAGGGTCATGATTTGGCAGCAGTGAAAGAGAGAGATGGGGATAGCCAAGGAGAAAGGGAGGGGAGGACGGGTGTGCGAAGAGGAGACTTAGCTACAGGAGAAGCGTGGACGCAGAAAGTGAGTCGTCCAGAGGACGACAAATCCTCCCGGGCGAGAGCAGCAAGCAGCAGCATACCTCGCAGCTCCCCACCATCAGAGTAGCATGGCGTGCCATTGGTTGGCTGATGTCTAGTGCACACGGCCGCAAGCAGAACGCTCAGGCGGGTGGTGAGGGAGAGGCGCCGCTGCTCTGGGGGGTTGTGAGGAGGAGGCGCCGCTGCTCTGGGGGCTGTGAGGGAGAGGCGCCGCTGCTCTGGGGGGCTGTGAGGAGGAGGCGCCGCTGCTCTGGGGGGCTGTGAGGGAGAGGCGCCGCTGCTCTGGGGGGCTGTGAGGGAGAGGCGCCGCTGCTCTGGGGGGCTGTGAGGAGGAGGCGCCGCTACTCTGGGGGGTTGTGAGGAGGAGGCGCCGCTGCTCTGGGGGGTTGTGAGGAGGAGGCGCCGCTGCTCTGAGGGGCTGTGAGGGAGAGGCGCCGCTGCTCTGGGGGGCTGTGAGGGAGAGGCGCCGCTGCTCTGGGGGGCTGTGAGGAGGAGGCGCCGCTACTCTGGGGGGTTGTGAGGAGGAGGCGCCGCTGCTCTGGGGGGTTGTGAGGAGGAGGCGCCGCTGCTCTGAGGGGCTGTGAGGGAGAGGCGCCGCTGCTCTGGGGGGCTGTGAGGGAGAGGCGCCGCTGCTCTGGGGGGCTGTGAGGAGGAGGCGCCGCTGCTCTGGGGGGGTGTGAGGAGGAGGCGCCGCTGCTCTGGGGGGTTGTGAGGAGGAGGCGCCGCTGCTCTGGGGGGCTGTGAGGGAGAGGCGCCGCTGCTCTGGGGGGTTGTGAGGAGGAGGCGCCGCTGCTCTGGGGGGTTGTGAGGAGGAGGCGCCGCTGCTCTGGGGGGCTGTGAGGAGAGGCGCCGCTGCTCTGGGGGGTTGTGAGGAGGAGGCGCCGCTGCTCTGGGGGCTGTGAGGGAGAGGCGCCGCTGCTCTGGGGGTTGTGAGGAGGAGGCGCCGCTGCTCTGGTGGGTTGTGAGGAGAGGCGCCGCTGCTCTGAGGGGCTGTGAGGGAGAGGCGCCGCTGCTCTGGGGGGCTGTGAGGGAGAGGCGCCGCTGCTCTGGGGGGTTGTGAGGAGGAGGCGCCGCTACTCTGGGGGGTTGTGAGGAGGTGGCGCCGCTGCTCTGGGGGGCTGTGAGGGAGAGGCGCCGCTGCTCTGAGGGGCTGTGAGGGAGAGGCGCCGCTGCTCTGGGGGGCTGTGAGGGAGAGGCGCCGCTGCTCTGGGGGGCTGTGAGGAGGAGGCGCCGCTGCTCTGGGGGGGTGTGAGGAGGAGGCGCCGCTGCTCTGGGGGGTTGTGAGGAGGAGGCGCCGCTGCTCTGGGGGGTTGTGAGGAGGAGGCGCCGCTGCTCTGGGGGGTTGTGAGGAGGAGGCGCCGCTGCTCTGGGGGGCTGTGAGGAGAGGCGCCGCTGCTCTGGGGGGTTGTGAGGAGGAGGCGCCACTGCTCTGGGGGGTTGTGAGGAGGAGGCGCCGCTGCTCTGGGGGGTTGTGAGGGAGAGGCGCCGCTGCTCTGGGGGTTGTGAGGAGGAGGCGCCGCTGCTCTGGTGGGTTGTGAGGAGAGGCGCCGCTGCTCTGAGGGGCTGTGAGGGAGAGGCGCCGCTGCTCTGGGGGGCTGTGAGGGAGAGGCGCCGCTGCTCTGGGGGGTTGTGAGGGAGAGGCGCCGCTGCTCTGGGGGGCTGTGAGGAGGAGGCGCCGCTGCTCTGGGGGGCTGTGAGGGAGAGGCGCTGCTGCTCTGGGGGGTTGTGAGGAGGAGGCGCCGCTGCTCTGGGGGGTTGTGAGGGAGAGGCGCCGCTGCTCTGGGGGGCTGTGAGGAGAGGCGCCGCTGCTCTGGTGGGTTGTGAGGAGGAGGCGCCGCTGCTCTGGGGGGTTGTGAGGAGGAGGCGCCGCTGCTCTGGGGGGCTGTGAGGAGAGGCGCCGCTGCTCTGGGGGGCTGTGAGGAGAGGCGCCGCTGCTCTGGGGGTTGTGAGGAGGAGGCGCCGCTGCTCTGGGGGGCTGTGAGGGAGAGGCGCCGCTGCTCTGAGGGGTTGTGAGGTGGAGGCGCCACTGCTCTGGGGGTTGTGAGGAGGAGGCGCCGCTGCTCTGGGGGGAGGTGAGGAGGAGGCGCCGCTGCTCTGGGGGGTTGTGAGGAGGAGGCGCCGCTACTCTGGGGGGTTGTGAGGAGGAGGCGCCGCTACTCTGGGGGGTTGTGAGGAGGAGGCGCCGCTGCTCTGAGGGGCTGTGAGGGAGAGGCGCCGCTGCTCTGGGGGGCTGTGAGGGAGAGGCGCCGCTGCTCTGGGGGGCTGTGAGGAGGAGGCGCCGCTGCTCTGGGGGGTTGTGAGGAGGAGGCGCCGCTGCTCTGGGGGTTGTGATAAGGAGGCGCCGCTGCTCTGGGGGGTTGTGAGGAGGAGGCGCCGCTGCTCTGGGGGGCTGTGAGCCGCTGCTCTGGGGGGTTGTGAGGAGGAGGTGCCGCTGCTCTGGGGGGTTGTGAGGAGGAGGCGCCGCTGCTCTGGGGGGCTGTGAGGAGAGGCGCCGCTGCTCTGGGGGGTTGTGAGGAGGAGGCGCCACTGCTCTGGGGGGTTGTGAGGAGGAGGCGCCGCTGCTCTGGGGGGTTGTGAGGGAGAGGCGCCGCTGCTCTGGGGGTTGTGAGGAGGAGGCGCCGCTGCTCTGGTGGGTTGTGAGGAGGAGGCGCCGCTGCTCTGGGGGGCTGTGAGCCGCTGCTCTGGGGGGTTGTGAGGAGGAGGTGCCGCTGCTCTGGGGGGTTGTGAGGAGGAGGCGCCGCTGCTCTGGGGGGCTGTGAGGAGAGGCGCCGCTGCTCTGGGGGGTTGTGAGGAGGAGGCGCCACTGCTCTGGGGGGTTGTGAGGAGGAGGCGCCGCTGCTCTGGGGGGTTGTGAGGGAGAGGCGCCGCTGCTCTGGGGGTTGTGAGGAGGAGGCGCCGCTGCTCTGGTGGGTTGTGAGGAGAGGCGCCGCTGCTCTGAGGGGCTGTGAGGGAGAGGCGCCGCTGCTCTGGGGGGCTGTGAGGGAGAGGCGCCGCTGCTCTGGGGGGTTGTGAGGGAGAGGCGCCGCTGCTCTGGGGGGCTGTGAGGAGGAGGCGCCGCTGCTCTGGGGGGCTGTGAGGGAGAGGCGCTGCTGCTCTGGGGGGTTGTGAGGAGGAGGCGCCGCTGCTCTGGGGGGTTGTGAGGGAGAGGCGCCGCTGCTCTGGGGGGCTGTGAGGAGAGGCGCCGCTGCTCTGGTGGGTTGTGAGGAGGAGGCGCCGCTGCTCTGGGGGGTTGTGAGGAGGAGGCGCCGCTGCTCTGGGGGGCTGTGAGGAGAGGCGCCGCTGCTCTGGGGGGCTGTGAGGAGAGGCGCCGCTGCTCTGGGGGTTGTGAGGAGGAGGCGCCGCTGCTCTGGGGGGCTGTGAGGGAGAGGCGCCGCTGCTCTGAGGGGTTGTGAGGTGGAGGCGCCACTGCTCTGGGGGTTGTGAGGAGGAGGCGCCGCTGCTCTGGGGGGAGGTGAGGAGGAGGCGCCGCTGCTCTGGGGGGTTGTGAGGAGGAGGCGCCGCTACTCTGGGGGGTTGTGAGGAGGAGGCGCCGCTACTCTGGGGGGTTGTGAGGAGGAGGCGCCGCTGCTCTGAGGGGCTGTGAGGGAGAGGCGCCGCTGCTCTGGGGGGCTGTGAGGGAGAGGCGCCGCTGCTCTGGGGGGCTGTGAGGAGGAGGCGCCGCTGCTCTGGGGGGTTGTGAGGAGGAGGCGCCGCTGCTCTGGGGGTTGTGATAAGGAGGCGCCGCTGCTCTGGGGGGTTGTGAGGAGGAGGCGCCGCTGCTCTGGGGGGCTGTGAGCCGCTGCTCTGGGGGGTTGTGAGGAGGAGGTGCCGCTGCTCTGGGGGGTTGTGAGGAGGAGGCGCCGCTGCTCTGGGGGGCTGTGAGGAGAGGCGCCGCTGCTCTGGGGGGTTGTGAGGAGGAGGCGCCACTGCTCTGGGGGGTTGTGAGGAGGAGGCGCCGCTGCTCTGGGGGGTTGTGAGGGAGAGGCGCCGCTGCTCTGGGGGTTGTGAGGAGGAGGCGCCGCTGCTCTGGTGGGTTGTGAGGAGAGGCGGCGCTGCTCTGAGGGGCTGTGAGGGAGAGGCGCCGCAGCTCTGGGGGGCTGTGAGGGAGAGGCGCCGCTGCTCTGGGGGGTTGTGAGGGAGAGGCGCCGCTGCTCTGGGGGTTGTGAGGAGGAGGCGCCGCTGCTCTGGTGGGTTGTGAGGAGAGGCGCCGCTGCTCTGAGGGGCTGTGAGGGAGAGGCGCCGCTGCTCTGGGGGGCTGTGAGGGAGAGGCGCCGCTGCTCTGGGGGGTTGTGAGGGAGAGGCGCCGCTGCTCTGGGGGGCTGTGAGGAGGAGGCGCCGCTGCTCTGGGGGGCTGTGAGGGAGAGGCGCCGCTGCTCTGGGGGGTTGTGAGGGAGAGGCGCCGCTGCTCTGGGGGTTGTGAGGAGGAGGCGCTGCTGCTCTGGGGGGTTGTGAGGAGGAGGCGCCGCTGCTCTGGGGGGTTGTGAGGGAGAGGCGCCGCTGCTCTGGGGGGCTGTGAGGAGAGGCGCCGCTGCTCTGGTGGGTTGTGAGGAGGAGGCGCCGCTGCTCTGGGGGGTTGTGAGGAGGAGGCGCCGCTGCTCTGGGGGGCTGTGAGGAGAGGCGCCGCTGCTCTGGGGGGCTGTGAGGAGAGGCGCCGCTGCTCTGGGGGTTGTGAGGAGGAGGCGCCGCTGCTCTGGGGGGCTGTGAGGGAGAGGCGCCGCTGCTCTGAGGGGTTGTGAGGAGGAGGCGCCGCTGCTCTGGGGGTTGTGAGGAGGAGGCGCCGCTGCTCTGGGGGGAGGTGAGGAGGAGGCGCCGCTGCTCTGGGGGGTTGTGAGGAGGAGGCGCCGCTACTCTGGGGGGTTGTGAGGAGGAGGCGCCGCTGCTCTGGGGGGTTGTGAGGAGGAGGCGCCGCTGCTCTGAGGGGCTGTGAGGGAGAGGCGCCGCTGCTCTGGGGGGCTGTGAGGGAGAGGCGCCGCTGCTCTGGGGGGCTGTGAGGAGGAGGCGCCGCTGCTCTGGGGGGTTGTGAGGAGGAGGCGCCGCTGCTCTGGGGGTTGTGATAAGGAGGCGCCGCTGCTCTGGGGGGTTGTGAGGAGGAGGCGCCGCTGCTCTGGGGGGCTGTGAGCCGCTGCTCTGGGGGGTTGTGAGGAGGAGGCGCCGCTGCTCTGGGGGGTTGTGAGGAGGAGGCGCCGCTGCTCTGGGGGGCTGTGAGGAGAGGCGCCGCTGCTCTGGGGGGTTGTGAGGAGGAGGCGCCACTGCTCTGGGGGGTTGTGAGGAGGAGGTGCCGCTGCTCTGGGGGCTGTGAGGGAGAGGCGCCGCTGCTCTGGGGGCTGTGAGGAGGAGGCGCCGCTGCTCTGGTGGGTTGTGAGGAGAGGCGCCGCTGCTCTGAGGGGCTGTGAGGGAGAGGCGCCGCTGCTCTGGGGGGCTGTGAGGGAGAGGTGCCGCTGCTCTGGGGGGTTGTGAGGGAGAGGCGCCGCTGCTCTGGGGGTTGTGAGGAGGAGGCGCCGCTGCTCTGGTGGGTTGTGAGGAGAGGCGCCGCTGCTCTGAGGGGCTGTGAGGGAGAGGCGCCGCTGCTCTGGGGGGCTGTGAGGGAGAGGCGCCGCTACTCTGGGGGGTTGTGAGGGAGAGGCGCCGCTGCTCTGGGGGGCTGTGAGGAGGAGGCGCCGCTGCTCTGGGGGGCTGTGAGGGAGAGGCGCTGCTGCTCTGGGGGGTTGTGAGGAGGAGGCGCCGCTGCTCTGGGGGGTTGTGAGGGAGAGGCGCCGCTGCCCTGGGGGGCTGTGAGGAGAGGCGCCGCTGCTCTGGTGGGTTGTGAGGAGGAGGCGCCGCTGCTCTGAGGGGCTGTGAGGAGAGGCGCCGCTAATCTGGGGGGCTGTGAGGGAGAGGCGCCGCTGCTCTGGGGGGCTGTGAGGAGGAGGCGCCGCTGCTCTGGGGGGTTGTGAGGAGAGGCGCGGCTGCTCTGGGGGGCTGTGAGGAGAGGCGCCGCTGCTCTGGTGGGTTGTGAGGAGAGGCGCCGCTGCTCTGGGGGGCTGTGAGGGAGAGGCGCCGCTGCTCTGGTGGGCTGTGAGGAGAGGCGCCGCTGCTCTGGGGGGCTGTGAGGAGAGGCGCCGCTGCTCTGGGGGGCTGTGAGGAGAGGCGCCGCTGCTCTGGGGGTTGTGAGGAGGAGGCGCCGCTGCTCTGGGTGGCTGTGAGGGAGAGGCGCCGCTGCTCTGGGGGGTTGTGAGGAGGAGGCGCCGCTGCTCTGGGGGGTTGTGAGGAGAGGCGCCGCTGCTCTGAGGGGCTGTGAGGGAGAGGCGCCGCTGCTCTGGGGGGTTGTGAGGAGAGGCGCCGCTGCTCTGGGGGCTGTGAGGGAGAGGCGCCGCTGCTTTGGAGGGTTGTGAGAAGGAGGCGCCGCTGCTCTGGGGGGTTGTGAGGAGAGGCGCCGCTGCTCTGGGGGGCTGTGAGGAGGAGGCGCCGCTGCTCTGGGGGGTTGTGAGGAGGAGGCGCCGCTGCTCTGGGGGGGTGTGAGGAGGAGGCGCCGCTGCTCTGGGGGGCTGTGAGGAGAGGCGCCGCTGCACTGGGGGGCTGTGAGGGAGAGGCGCCGCTGCTCTGGGGGGCTGTGAGGAGGAGGCGCCGCTGCTCTGGGGGGTTGTGAGGAGAGGCGCGGCTGCTCTGGGGGGCTGTGAGGAGAGGCGCCGCTGCTCTGGTGGGTTGTGAGGAGAGGCGCCGCTGCTCTGGGGGGCTGTGAGGGAGAGGCGCCGCTGCTCTGGTGGGCTGTGAGGAGAGGCGCCGCTGCTCTGGGGGGCTGTGAGGAGAGGCGCCGCTGCTCTGGGGGGCTGTGAGGAGAGGCGCCCCTGCTCTGGGGGTTGTGAGGAGGAGGCGCCGCTGCTCTGGGTGGCTGTGAGGGAGAGGCGCCGCTGCTCTGGGGGGTTGTGAGGAGGAGGCGCCGCTGCTCTGGGGGGTTGTGAGGAGAGGCGCCGCTGCTCTGAGGGGCTGTGAGGGAGAGGCGCCGCTGCTCTGGGGGGCTGTGAGGGAGAGGCGCCGCTGCTCTGGGGGGCTGTGAGGAGGAGGCGCCGCTGCTCTGGGGGGTTGTGAGGAGGAGGCGCCGCTGCTCTGGGGGGTTGTGAGGAGGAGGCGCCGCTGCTCTGGGGGGGTGTGAGGGAGAGGCGCCGCTGCTCTGGGGGGCTGTGAGGGAGAGGCGCCGCTGCTCTTGTGGGTTGTGAGGAGGAGGCGCCGCTGCTCTGGGGGGCTGTGAGGGAGAGGCGCCGCTGCTCTGGTGGGTTGTGAGGAGGAGGCGCCGCTGCTCTGGAGGGTTGTGAGAAGGAGGCGCCGCTGCTCTGGGGGTTGTGAGGAGGAGGCGCCGCTGCTCTGGGGGGTTGTGAGGAGGAGGCGCCGCTCCTCTGGGGGGTTGTGAGGGAGAGGCGCCGCTGCTCTGGTGGGCTGTGAGGAGAGGCGCCGCTGCTCTGGGGGGCTGTGAGGAGAGGCGCCGCTGCTCTGGGGGGCTGTGAGGAGAGGCGCCCCTGCTCTGGGGGTTGTGAGGAGGAGGCGCCGCTGCTCTGGGTGGCTGTGAGGGAGAGGCGCCGCTGCTCTGGGGGGTTGTGAGGAGGAGGCGCCGCTGCTCTGGGGGGTTGTGAGGAGAGGCGCCGCTGCTCTGAGGGGCTGTGAGGGAGAGGCGCCGCTGCTCTGGGGGGCTGTGAGGGAGAGGCGCCGCTGCTCTGGGGGGCTGTGAGGAGGAGGCGCCGCTGCTCTGGGGGGTTGTGAGGAGGAGGCGCCGCTGCTCTGGGGGGTTGTGAGGAGGAGGCGCCGCTGCTCTGGGGGGGGTGTGAGGGAGAGGCGCCGCTGCTCTGGGGGGCTGTGAGGGAGAGGCGCCGCTGCTCTTGTGGGTTGTGAGGAGGAGGCGCCGCTGCTCTGGGGGGCTGTGAGGGAGAGGCGCCGCTGCTCTGGTGGGTTGTGAGGAGGAGGCGCCGCTGCTCTGGAGGGTTGTGAGAAGGAGGCGCCGCTGCTCTGGGGGTTGTGAGGAGGAGGCGCCGCTGCTCTGGGGGGTTGTGAGGAGGAGGCGCCGCTCCTCTGGGGGGTTGTGAGGGAGAGGCGCCGCTGCTCTGGGGGGCTGTGAGGGAGAGGCGCCGCTGCTCTGGTGGGTTGTGAGGAGGAGGCGCCGCTGCTCTGGGGGTTGTGAGGAGGAGGCGCCGCTGCTCTGGGGGGTTGTGAGGAGGAGGCGCCGCTACTCTGGGGGGTTGTGAGGAGGAGGCGCCGCTGCTCTGGGGGGTTGTGAGGAGGAGGCGCCGCTGCTCTGAGGGGCTGTGAGGGAGAGGCGCCGCTGCTCTGGGGGGCTGTGAGGGAGAGGCGCCGCTGCTCTGGGGGGCTGTGAGGAGAGGCGCCGCTGCTCTGGGGGGCTGTGAGGAGGAGGCGCCGCTGCTCTGGAGGGTTGTGAGGAGGAGGCGCCGCTGCTCTGGGGGGTTGTGAGGAGGAGGCGCCGCTGCTCTGGGGGGTTGTGAGGAGGAGGCGCCGCTGCTCTGGGGGGTTGTGAGGAGGAGGCGCCGCTGCTCTGAGGGGCTGTGAGGAGAGGCGCCGCTGCTCTGGGGGTTGTGAGGAGGAGGCGCCGCTGCTCTGGTGGGTTGTGAGGAGAGGCGCCGCTGCTCTGAGGGGCTGTGAGGGAGAGGCGCCGCTGCTCTGGGGGGCTGTGAGGGAGAGGCGCCGCTGCTCTGGGGGGTTGTGAGGAGAGGCGCCGCTGCTCTGGAGGGTTGTGAGAAGGAGGCGCCGCTGCTCTGGGGGGTTGTGAGGAGAGGCGCCGCTGCTCTGGGGGGCTGTGAGGGAGAGGCGCCGCTGCTCTGGGGGGCTGTGAGGAGGAGGCGCCGCTGCTCTGGGGGGTTGTGAGGAGGAGGCGCCGCTGCTCTGGGGGGTTGTGAGGAGGAGGCGCCGCTGCTCTGGGGGGCTGTGAGGAGAGGCGCCGCTGCTCTGAGGGGCTGTGAGGGAGAGGCGCCGCTGCTCTGGGGGGCTGTGAGGGAGAGGCGCCGCTGCTCTGGGGGGTTGTGAGGAGGAGGCGCCGCTGCTCTGGGGGGTTGTGAGGAGGAGGCGCCGCTGCTCTGGGGGGTTGTGAGGAGGAGGCGCCGCTGCTCTGAGGGGCTGTGAGGAGAGGCGCCGCTGCTCTGGGGGTTGTGAGGAGGAGGCGCCGCTGCTCTGGTGGGTTGTGAGGAGAGGCGCCGCTGCTCTGAGGGGCTGTGAGGGAGAGGCGCCGCTGCTCTGGGGGGCTGTGAGGGAGAGGCGCCGCTGCTCTGGGGGGTTGTGAGGAGGAGGCGCCGCTGCTCTGGGGGGCTGTGAGGGAGAGGCGCCGCTGCTCTGGAGGGTTGTGAGAAGGAGGCGCCGCTGCTCTGGGGGGTTGTGAGGAGAGGCGCCGCTGCTCTGGGGGGCTGTGAGGAGGAGGCGCCGCTGCTCTGGAGGGTTGTGAGGAGGAGGCGCCGCTGCTCTGGGGGGCTGTGAGGAGGAGGCGCCGCTGCTCTGGGGGGCTGTGAGGGAGAGGCGCCGCTGCTCTGGGGGGCTGTGAGGAGAGGCGCCGCTGCTCTGGGGGTTGTGAGAAGGAGGCGCCGCTGCTCTGGGGGGTTGTGAGGAGAGGCGCCGCTGCTCTGAGGGGCTGTGAGGGAGAGGCGCCGCTGCTCTGGTGGGTTGTGAGGAGAGGCGCCGCTGCTCTGGGGGGTTGTGAGGAGAGGCGCCGCTGCTCTGGAGGGCTGTGAGGAGAGGCGCCGCTGCTCTGGGGGGCTGTGAGGAGAGGCGCTGCTGCTCTGGGGGGTTGTGAGGAGAGGCGCCGCTGCTCTGGGGGTTGTGAGGAGGAGGCGCCGCTGCTCTGGGGGGCTGTGAGGGAGAGGCGCCGCTGCTCTGGGGGGTTGTGAGGAGGAGGCGCCGCTGCTCTGGGGGGTTGTGAGGAGAGGCGCCGCTGCTCTGGGGGGCTGTGACGGAGAGGCGCCGCTGCTCTGGGGGGCTGTGAGGAGAGGCGCCGCTGCTCTGGGGGGCTGTGAGGAGGAGGCGCCGCTGCTCTGGGGGGTTGTGAAGAGAGGCGCCGCTGCTCTGGGGGGTTGTGAGGAGGAGGCGCCGCTGCTCTGGGGGGGTGTGAGGAGAGGCGCCGCTGCTCTGGGGGGCTGTGAGGGAGAGGCGCCGCTGCTCTGGTGGGTTGTGAGGAGGAGGCGCCGCTGCTCTGGGGGGCTGTGAGGAGAGGCGCTGCTGCTCTGGGGGGTTGTGAGGAGGAGGCGCCGCTGCTCTGAGGGTTGTGAGAAGGAGGCGCCGCTGCTCTGGGGGTTGTGAGGAGGAGGCGCCGCTGCTCTGGGGGGTTGTGAGGAGGAGGCGCCGCTACTCTGGGGGGTTGTGAGGAGGAGGCGCCGCTGCTCTGGGGGGTTGTGAGGGAGAGGCGCCGCTGCTCTGGTGGGCTGTGAGGAGAGGCGCCGCTGCTCTGGGGGGCTGTGAGAGAGAGGCGCCGCTGCTCTGGTGGGTTGTGAGGAGGAGGCGCCGCTGCTCTGGGGGGCTGTGAGGAGAGGCGCTGCTGCTCTGGGGGGTTGTGAGGAGGAGGCGCCGCTGCTCTGGGGGGTTGTGAGGAGGAGGCGCCGCTGCTCTGGGGGGTTGTGAGGAGAGGCGCCGCTGCTCTGAGGGGCTGTGAGGGAGAGGCGCCGCTGCTCTGGGAGGCTGTGAGGGAGAGGCGCCGCTGCTCTGGGGGGCTGTGAGGAGGAGGCGCCGCTGCTCTGGGGGGTTATGAAGAGGAGGCGCCGCTGCTCTGGGGGGTTGTGAGGAGGAGGCGCCGCTGCTCTGGGGGGTTGTGAGGGAGAGGCGCCGCTGCTCTGGGGGGCTGTGAGGGAGAGGCGCCGCTGCTCTGGTGGGTTGTGAGGAGGAGGCGCCGCTGCTCTGGGGGTTGTGAGGAGGAGGCGCCGCTGCTCTGGGGGGTTGTGAGGAGGAGGCGCCGCTACTCTGGGGGGGTGTGAGGAGGAGGCGCCGCTGCTCTGGGGGGTTGTGAGGGAGAGGCGCCGCTGCTCTGGTGGGCTGTGAGGAGAGGCGCCGCTGCTCTGGGGGGCTGTGAGAGAGAGGCGCCGCTGCTCTGGTGGGTTGTGAGGAGGAGGCGCCGCTGCTCTGGGGGGCTGTGAGGAGAGGCGCTGCTGCTCTGGGGGGTTGTGAGGAGGAGGCGCCGCTGCTCTGGGGGGTTGTGAGGAGGAGGCGCCGCTGCTCTGGGGGGTTGTGAGGAGAGGCGCCGCTGCTCTGAGGGGCTGTGAGGGAGAGGCGCCGCTGCTCTGGGGGGCTGTGAGGGAGAGGCGCCGCTGCTCTGGGGGGCTGTGAGGAGGAGGCGCCGCTGCTCTGGGGGGTTATGAAGAGGAGGCGCCGCTGCTCTGGGGGGTTGTGAGGAGGAGGCGCCGCTGCTCTGGGAGGTTGTGAGGGAGAGGCGCCGCTGCTCTGGGGGGCTGTGAGGGAGAGGCGCCGCTGCTCTGGTGGGTTGTGAGGAGGAGGCGCCGCTGCTCTGGGGGTTGTGAGGAGGAGGCGCCGCTGCTCTGGGGGGTTGTGAGGAGGAGGCGCCGCTACTCTGGGGGGTTGTGAGGAGGAGGCGCCGCTGCTCTGGGGGTTGTGAGGAGGAGGCGCCGCTGCTCTGGGGGGTTGTGAGGAGGAGGCGCCGCTACTCTGGGGGGTTGTGAGGAGGAGGCGCCGCTGCTCTGGGGGGTTGTGAGGAGGAGGCGCCGCTGCTCTGAGGGGCTGTGAGGGAGAGGCGCCGCTGCTCTGGGGGGCTGTGAGGGAGAGGCGCCGCTGCTCTGGGGGGCTGTGAGGAGAGGCGCCGCTGCTCTGGGGGGCTGTGAGGAGGAGGCGCCGCTGCTCTGGAGGGTTGTGAGGAGGAGGCGCCGCTGCTCTGGGGGGTTGTGAGGAGGAGGCGCCGCTGCTCTGGGGGGTTGTGAGGAGGAGGCGCCGCTGCTCTGGGGGGTTGTGAGGAGGAGGCGCCGCTGCTCTGAGGGGCTGTGAGGAGAGGCGCCGCTGCTCTGGGGGTTGTGAGGAGGAGGCGCCGCTGCTCTGGTGGGTTGTGAGGAGAGGCGCCGCTGCTCTGAGGGGCTGTGAGGGAGAGGCGCCGCTGCTCTGGGGGGCTGTGAGGGAGAGGCGCCGCTGCTCTGGGGGGTTGTGAGGAGAGGCGCCGCTGCTCTGGAGGGTTGTGAGAAGGAGGCGCCGCTGCTCTGGGGGGTTGTGAGGAGAGGCGCCGCTGCTCTGGGGGGCTGTGAGGAGGAGGCGCCGCTGCTCTGGGGGGTTGTGAGGAGGAGGCGCCGCTGCTCTGGGGGGTTGTGAGAAGGAGGCGCCGCTGCTCTGGGGGGCTGTGAGGAGAGGCGCCGCTGCTCTGGGGGCTGTGAGGGAGAGGCGCCGCTGCTCTGGGGGGCTGTGAGGGAGAGGCGCCGCTGCTCTGGAGGGTTGTGAGGAGGAGGCGCCGCTGCTCTGGGGGGTTGTGAGAAGAAGGCGCCGCTGCTCTGGGGGGTTGTGAGGAGGAGGCGCCGCTGCTCTGGGGGGCTGTGAGGGAGAGGCGCCGCTGCTCTGGGGGGTTGTGAGGAGGAGGCGCCGCTGCTCTGGGGGGCTGTGAGGGAGAGAAGACAAGGAGAAGACATAAGGACAAGGAAAACGGGACGAGGAAAGGAGGGAAATGAATAAGGGACGAGGCGAGAAGGGAAGGCCAAAGGCAACAACACTAAAATGACAAGTCAACCAGGGAAAATGACAAGAGGGTGGGAGGAATAACACTTTCCTGAATCTCCACTCGCACTGAACAGCTCACTGAGGAAATATCACTGTGAGTGCAGTATGAAGAGCAATCAGGCCGTGTAGCAGATTGAGCAGCCAGCAGCAGCAGACAGAAGCGAAGGAGAGAGCGGATGCAGTGAAATGGAGGAGTGAAAGAGAGAACGGGTGGAATCGCATGCAAGGAGAGTGCGGGTACAGTTAAAGGGATGCATACCGTACCATAATGGCAGCGATGGCAGCGGTGCCGATGACTGGAGTTGACTGGCGTTGACTGATGCTGACTGCCGTGCTGCTGCTCTGCTGCAACGCAGCTGAGGGCGCGAGCAACGCAGCTGAGAAGCGTAGAGGCTGAAATTGACTCGTCCAAGGCAGCAACAGCAAGCAGAGTCGCCGTTCCGCACACCGTCGCACGCAGCAACTCGCCATTCAGCGGTACGGCTCAAGAGCGCAACAGCGCAAAAGCTTAATGGCGCAAGATCGAACGGCGCAACGGCGAAAGAGCAGGGTTAATGAGGGGGGATGTGGGGCTGATGAGGGGGGATGTGGGGCTCGTGAGGGGGGATGTGGGGCTGATGAGGGGGGATGTGGGGCTTGACAAGGAATGGGGACGCATTGGAAACAGAAACTCAGATTCAGGCACAAAGCAGGTCAAGGTAGGAATTAGGGCAGTAGTGAGCAAGGACGAGAAAATCGAAACATGCATGAGATTAGCATTGGGGAACTTGAGGTTGCGGTAGAGGGTGGAGGGTGGAGGGAGGAGGGTGAAGGGTGGAGGGTGGAGGGAGGAGGGTGGAGGGTGGAGGGTGGAGGGTGGAGGGTTGAGGGTTGTGGGTGGAGGGTGGAGGGTGGAGGGAGGAGGGAGGAGGGAGGAGGGAGGAGGGAGGAGGGAGGAGGGTGGAGGGTGGACGGTGCAGGTGTTGAGGGTGGAGGGTGGAGGGTGGAGGGAGGAGGAGGGTGGAGGGTGGAGGGAGGAGGGCGGAGGGAGGAGGGTGGAGGGTGGAGGGTGGAGGGTGGAGGGAGGAGGGAGGAGGGTGGAGACGGTGGAGGGTGGACGACGAAGGGTGGGTGGAGGGTGGAGGGAGGAGGGAGGAGGGAGGTGGGAGGAGGGTGGAGGGAGGAGGGAGGAGGGTGGAGGGTGGAGGGTGGAGGGTGGAGGGTGGAGGGAGGATGGTGGAGGGTGGAGGGAGGATGGTGGAGAGAGGAGGGTGGAGGGAGGAGGGTGGAGGGTGGGGGGAGGAGGGTGGAGGGTGGAAGGTGGGGGGTGGAGGGTGGAGGGAGGAGGGAGGAGCGAGGAGGGTGGAGGGTGGAGGGAGGAAGGTGGAGGGTGGAGGGAGGAGGGTGGAGGGTGGAAGGTGGGGGGTGGAGGGAGGAGGCTGGAGGGTGGAGGGTGGAGGGAGGAGGGTGGAGGGAGGAGGGTGGAGGGTGGAAGGTGGGGGGTGGAGGGAGGAGGGTGGAGGAGGGTGGAGGTGTTGAAGGTGGAGGGTGGAGGGTGGAGGGAGGAGGGAGGAGGGTGGAGGGTGGAGGGTGGAAGGTGGAGGGTGGAGGGTGGAGGGAGGAGGGAGGAGGGAGGAGGGTGGAGGGTGGAGGGTGGAGGGTTGAGGGTGGAGGGTGGAGGTAGGAGGGCGGAGGGAGGAGGGAGGAGGGAGGGGGGAGGAGGGATGAGCGAGGAGGGAGGAGGGTGGAGGGTGGAGGGTGGATGGTGGAGGGCGGAGGGTGTGGAGGAGGGTGGAGGGTGGAGGGAGGAGGGAGGAGGGTGGAGGGTGGAGGGAGGAGGGAGGAGGGAGGAGGGATGAGGGAGGAGGTTGGAGGGTGGAGGGTGGAGGTGTTGAGGGTGGAGGGTGGAGGGTGGAGGGTGGAGGGAGGAGGGAGGAGGAAGGTTGGGTGGAGGGTGGAGGGGTGGAGGGTGGAGGGTGGAGGGTGGAGGGAGGATGGTGGAGGGTGGAGGGTGGAGGGCGGAGGGTGCAGGGTGGAGGGTGGAGGGTGGAGGGAGGATGGTGGAGGGTGGAGGGTGGAGGGTGGAGGGAGGAGGGAGGAGGGTGGAGGGTGGAGGGTGGAGGGAGGAGGGAGGAGGGTGGAGGGTGGAGGGTGGAGGGTGGAGGGTGGAGGGTGGAGGGTGGAGGGTGGAGGGTGGAGGGAGGAGGGAGGAGGGAGGAGGGATGAGGATGGAGGGTGGAGGGTGGAGGTGTTGAGGGTGGAGGGTGGAGGGAGGAGGGAGGAGGAAGGATGGGTGGAGGGTGGAGGGTGTGGAGGAGGGTGGAGGGTGGAGGGTGGAGGGAGGAGGGAGGAGCGTGGAGGGTGGAGGGTGGAGGGAGGAGGGAGGAGGGAGGAGGGATGAGGGAGGAGGGTGGAGGGTGGAGGGTGGAGGTGTTGAGGGTGGAGGGTGGAGGGTGGAGGGTGGAGGGAGGAGGGAGGAGGAAGGTTGGGTGGAGGGTGGAGGGTGGAGGGTGGAGGGTGGAGGGTGGAGGGAGGATGGTGGAGGGTGGAGGGTGGAGGGCGGAGGGTGGAGGGTGGAGGGTGGAGGGTGGAGGGAGGATGGTGGAGGGTGGAGGGTGGAGGGTGGAGGGTGGAGGGTGGAGGGTGGAGGGTGGAGGGAGGAGGGTGGAGGGTGGAGGGAGGAGGGTGGAGGGTGGAGGGTGGAGGGTGGAGGGTGGGGTGGAGGGTGGAGGGTGGAGGGAGGAGGGAGGAGGGAGGTTGGGTGGAGGGTGGAGGGGTGGAGGGTGGAGGGTGGAGGGTGGAGGGAGGATGGTGGAGGGTGGAGGGTGGAGGGCGGAGGGTGGAGGGTGGAGGGTGGAGGGAGGATGGTGGAGGGTGGAGGGGTGGAGGGTGGAGGGTGGAGGGTGGAGGGTGGAGGGAGGAGGGAGGAGGGTGGAGGGTGGAGGGTGGAGGGTGGAGGGAGGAGGGTGGAGGGTGGAGGGAGGAGGGAGGAGGGTGGAGGGTGGAGGGTGGAGGGTGGAGGGTGGAGGGTGGAGGGTGGAGGGTGGAGGGAGGAGGGTGGAGGGTGGAGGGAGGAGGGTGGAGGGTGGAGGGTGGAGGGTGGAGGGTGGGATGGAGGGTGGAGGGTGGAGGGAGGAGGGAGGAGGGAGGAGGGATGAGGATGGAGGGTGGAGGGTGGAGGTGTTGAGGGTGGAGGGTGGAGGGTGGAGGGAGGAGGGAGGAGGAAGGATGGGTGGAGGGTGGAGGGGTGGAGGGTGGTCGGGCGCATGGGTGGGCGCATGGGTGGGCGCATGGTCGGGCGCATGGTTGGGCTGGGGCGTTGGGCTGGGGCGTTGGGCTTGGGCGTTGGGCTTGGGCGTTGGGCTTGGGCGTTGGGCTTGGGCGTTGCGCTTGGGCGTTGGGCGTAGAGAAAGCATGTGCCCAAAACAGGGGCTAGTAGAGAAAGCATGTGCCCAAAACAGGGGCTAGTAGAGAAAGCATGTGCCCAAAACAGGGGCTTGAGAAAACATGTGGTTAAAACAGGGGCTAGATAAAGCATGTGCCCAAACAGGGGCTAGTAAGAAAGCGTGTACCCAAAACAGGGGCTATAGAAAACATCTGCCCAACAAAGGGGCTAGTAGAGAAAGCATGTACCCAAAACAGGGGCTAGAGAAGGCATGTGCCCACACCAGGGGCTACAGAAATAGTGTGCCCTAAACAGGGGCTAGAGAAAGAGTGTGCCCTAAACAGGGGCTAGTAGAGAAAGCATGTGCCCAAACAGGGGCTAGTGAGAAAGCGTGTGCCCAAAACAGGGGCTAGAGAAAACATCGGCCCAAAACAGGGGCCAGTAGAGAAAGCATGTGCCCAAAACAGGGGCTAGAGAAAGCATGTGCCCAAAACAGGGGCTAGAGAAAGCATGTGCCCAAAACAGGGGCTAGTAGAGAAAGCATGTGCCCAAAACAGGGGCTAAAGCAAACATGTGCCCAAAACAGGGGCTAGAGAAATCATGTGCCCAAATAAGGACTAGTAGACTAAGCATGTGCCCAAAACAGGGGCTAGAGAAAGTGTGTGCCCAAACAGGGGCTAGTAGAGAAAGCGTGTGCCCTAAACAGGGGCTAGAGAAAGCATGCGAGGGCTACAGAAAGAGTGTGCCCTAGACAGGGGCTAGAGAAAGAGTGTGCCCTAAACAGGGGCTAGAGAAAGGATGTGCCCAAACAGGGGCTAATGAGAAAGCGTGTGCCCAAAACAAGGGCTAGAGAAAGCATGAGACCACCAAAACAGGGGCTAGAGAAAGAATGTGCCTAAAAAAGCGGGTTGGAAACAGAGTGACCTCATGTTGATGCTTCCGCTCAACCGTAGGCTTGTAGTTGCTCTCTCCATTACTGTCCGTCACACCTGAAGGCGAAGCGCAAGACCATTGAAAGAGAAGATCAGCAAGAGCAAGAGAAGAAAGAGCAGGAGAAACATAGGCCATGCAATGGGAAACTATTATGGTGGCGAAAGGGGCAAGTACATATGCGAAGGTGGGCCTGTAGTCCCTCCCTGGCATCCTGAGGAGTCATCTCCACTACTGCTGTCGCTGCTGTTGCTGGAAAACGATGAGTGCATGGGAAAGGGCGACAAGGGCATGAGGAAGAAGGCTCAAGCGAAGGGTTTGGGGTTCAGGGCTTAGGACCAATTTCAACAAGCGAAGTTGGAGCATGAGGAGCAAGGGCTTGGGTCAAAAGCTTGTGCGACAAAATAACAGGGAATAGCAAGCGGAGAGCCTTACATCGCAGGTGAATTGCCTTGACCTGTAGTCCCGGCTGCCTCTCTTCTCTTGCGTTGCCTCTGCTCCTTGGCTGCTCCCAGAAGAGATGAGGGCGGCAGAAGGGACGAGGGCAGCAGAAGTTGAAAGACGAGTAGAGTGTGTAAGGAAGCGGAAGAGTGGACGTGGCGAGATGATGGCAGCAGGAAGATGGAGAGAAAAAAAGGCAAGATTGGAAGGAAATGGGTGCAGGAGAAGGGGGCGAGGCGGACACTCACCACAACGAGACGGCTCACAAATGCTTGTATTCCATTGAGAGCCGCTCCCATGCTTGCCTCCTGAAATGAGATAAGGAGGTGGACGAAAAAACCAACTGAGTAAGTATACTCGAAAGATAAAGGGAAAGCGAATGGGACCAAAAGAACGTAACAGCATCTTGCATTGCAAGCCAGGAGCAGAGACACGGAGTTCATACCACAAGATGCTCAGTTGCTGTTGTACCTTTCTGTTGCCACCACTGAAGCACCACAGCCTCCGATCGCTCTCCTGCCT